CAGGGCAATGAACTCATTAAGGTGGAGCTCTGTCACCACCTCCTGCAGGAATCCGAGATGAGTCCATCGCTGCACTGTATCCTTGTGCAAGTGTGTGTAGGAAGGATCAGTCACTGGAGCTCCGCGCTCTCCGGCTCTGCACGCCAGAGCCAACGCCACCAGGAGAAATAGGAGCCCTTTCCATGTAAGCGAACTGATCCGGCTGATATCAAGTGACTCATTAAGGGCTTACAAAACTTAAGTAGACCATAGTGTTGCTCTCTAGTAGTGGGAACTTCTTGGCTTGAGTGGAGGATTTGATACCAGCCAAAAGCTCACCTTGGGCCTTGCCGGCATTAGCAACAGCAGATCTGCCCTGGGAGGTGCTTGCAGGAAGTTGCAAACTGCTCCTGTTTTTACTCTAAAGAATTAAGTTTTCCAAAGATGCAGGAAGATCTGGCCCTGCACTTGGCAAATGATGAACACCAAAGCCTTAAATGGGGATGAAGAGGGATGAAGGTGGAATCAAGCTGGACAACTACATCTACTCTGTGTTTCCTCAGTAGCTCAAAACATTTTACCCTCTGCTCTCCCCTTCATCCTTTTCCCATACAAGCTCTTCGAAAGAATGAAAACATCTCATGTTGATTAGATTAATTAGAGACAAACATACTCCCAGATAGTGATATGACATGGCTTTAAACTAGGAGAGACTTAGATCAGTTATTAGGAAGAAAATTCTTGACTGAGCATGCTGAGGCTCTGGCACAGGTTGCCCTGAGAAGCTGTGGCTACTCCCTGGAAATGTTCAAGGTCAGATTGGGCAGGGCTTGGAGCAACCTGGAATAGTGGAAGGTGTCCCTGCACATGGCAGGGGAGTTGGAATGAGATGATTTTTAAGGTGCCTTCCAACCCAAACCCTTCTATGATTCTGTGATTCTGTGATCTTCCAAAGAGCTAAACAGTCATCTTAAACACATCTTTATTGGAATCACTTTGACTTGGGTGCACAGTGCAAAACTAGCCCATCCTTCTGGCCCCCACAGAAGGGTTTTTGTAGCCAAAATTTGCATATGAGAGAAACCACAGACACAGAGAATCAAATGGAGCAGGATCTGCTTCTAAAGAGTTTGGTAGGCAGATGTTTTTCCCAACTCTAAGGGACACAAGGGTTTTGCAAAATAGGTCCTTGTGATCTGATTAATGTAAGTAAACGAAATCTTTACAAGATTAAGTAGGTGCACAGTAATGGCTGCTTGAGTTTTGGAGGTTTGCTGTGAAACCTCCAGGTAGACTTAAAAATCACCCCAGTTAGGATGGGCTTGTGGCACATGAAGTTTACGTTTAGTGAACTTGGAAGACATTTCTCCATTGCAAGCTGTCCCCAGATTAAAGTCACATTTTATGTGACTCTCCCACTGGCTCAGCTCAAGGCATTGCACAGGCCATGGTTATACTGCCTAAACATCATCTCATGTACTAGAGAGCTATGACTCCTTCAATGGGATCCCTAGCATGAAACTGATGAACATCCTTGCTTTGGGAATTTTTTTTTTTTTTTCTTTTTTGTCAGAGATCCTGAAAACAAAAAATTGCAGCATTTAGCCAGATACGACTGTGAGGGCTGGAGGGATGTGGCTCCTCCTGAGCTGTGGCACTGCAAATCCAGCCTTTTAGAGAGTAGGTGGCACTGAGAGCCAATGGTCGGGCTGGGTTATTAGATACCAAGGCAAAGGCCTGGATTTTGGGCTTGACTGAGCATCTGTCTTTGCAGAAAATATAGAGAACAACAGCATCACTTCATCTGCAACATCTTAATACATGCCAGCTCCAAGCACCAACGCAGACATTTCACAGCCCACAAGGCCCAGAGAAGGCAGCTATTGTACGAATTATGAGAGGCGTTTTTTGACGTCCCTGAAGTAATTTTAAGCAAGAAGCTGTTTCTCAGATAAACTCCACCAGATATCCCTGGAAGCAAAGAAGAGCTTGTAGGAAAATAAGGTCTTAATGTGAGCTCAGCTCCTTTCACAGAAAAGCTCAAAATCAGTGGAGGAAAAGAGAGGTGGTTTCATGTTGGAAAAGTTCTTGGAAGAGGGTCAAGTAAAGCCTGCAAAGACAAAGGATCTCTCTGGTTCTGGAGGGCTGTAGATGGTTTCCAGCTCTCAACCTCAAGAAAAACACATTTTCAGCTGACGAGTGGGTTCAAGGACAGTTCTGTCACTGGGGAAGCTCCCAATAGCTCTGCAGTTTTATCCAGCCCTTGTGAAGGGTGTTATTGTTATTTAACCCATGGGAAGGTCTGGACTTCACAGAGCAGGAAACGTTATCCTCCTCCTGTGGATGGAAACTGGGACACGCTCTGATCCTGTGCCTAAACACACCACAGCAGAACTGAGAACTGTGCCCAGCTTTCTTGGTAACAAGACCAAATTTCTCCCTCTGAATCCATGCAATGGTGATCATGTGGACAAGAAAAACCCACAAGCAGATGTGTATCCCTATTTTACAGCATTTATCAAAAAGTGCTGTAAATTGCAACTCAAAAATAAACAACTGCACATGATCTCTTGTCCCTATTTCCTAATTAATTTATGTAAAAAGAAAATAAAAATTATATATTTTTTTCCAAATCTGGATGCCAAATTAAAAAAATTCCACTGCAAACAGTGCCCAGTCCCACACATGGGAAGGGAACAGCTTGAAGGAAGAAGGATGAAGGTCACTGGCACACAGTTAAGCAGCAGTGGCATTGGAGGCTCCAGGTGACACCAGTGCTAGTGACACACCATCACACTTGTCATTAGTCCCACAGCAAGAAAATGACAGGCACATCGAGATGCTGGCTTAGGGAGGAATTGACAGGCAAGACTTTGGAATTTGTAAACCAAATTCCTGCTCATGACAGGTGATGAAACCTAAATTTTTGTAAATGTGTTTCAAGTCTCCTTCCCCATCATCCCCTCATTTAGGCAATAAAATAACCTAATTATTTTCTGTTCGGTTTTGTAGAGCTGTTTTGAAGTCATTATGGGAGCATTCACATTGAAAACATAACAGGGAGTTGTGTTCATATGAAATTACTTTCTCATTGTGTTTTACAAATTGCATGGAAAATCTTCCATCTATCCCAGATTTACCTCACATTTTGTTTTCTGAAGAAAATTTGCCTTCTTGATCAAAGCTTGAGGGAGCAATCACTGAATAATAGAAAGGCTTGGGTTGGAAGGGACATTAAATATCATCTGTTTCCTAACAATACTGCATCAAACCTAAACTGTGAGAATGTTTGGTGTCACCATGCTGGAATGGAAGTCCCCACTTGCTCAAGGCATCCAGCAGCTGCTGAACTGTGCTGGCTTTGGCATGGGACACCAGACACCTGAGTTAAGAGGCCAGGACTCTGGAGCAGACAAGGACTAGAAGGAAAATTTAAGGCTGACTGCCAAGGGGAAACAGATGGTCTGGAAGTCCTCAGCTTTCCTCTCTCCCTGTGAGGAGTATCACAGGATTTAAAGTCCTGGTGCAAAAAGTCACTCCATAAGCATCTTAGAATCATAGAAACCTAGGATGACTTAGGTTGGGAGGGACCTTAAAGGTCATCTCATTCCAACCCCTCTGCCATGTGCAGGGACACCTTCCACTAGACCAGATTGCTCCAAGCCCTGTCCAACTTTGACACTGAAAGTTCCCAGGGATGGGGCATCTACCACCCCTCTGGGTAACCTGTCACAGTGTTTCACAACTGTCCTCATAAAAAACCTTCTCCTTACACTTACTCTGAACCAACCACCCTTTTGTTTTGTCCTACCACCACAGACTCTGTTAAATAAATGTCTGACCCCCTCCTTCACCCACTGCAAACCTTGAAGAGGCTGAAGTAGCACCTTTGAGGGGAAGCACCTTTGGCTCGGCTGCCACAGCTCACGATTAATGGTTTCTTCTCACAGGAGCCAGGTACGAGCTGTTTGCTGGCTGTAAATCTCCCGTTACAGCCTCCTCTGCCATACAGCACACATGGATTAATAGCAGCTTTCTACTTTTGAGGTTACAGCTGATCCAAAAGTCCCCAGAAGAAAGGGCGACTTTCCTAAGCAGCATGACTGACAAGACGGTGAAGAGGGAGTTTATTCAGAGCATTATCTAATTCATTCCCCAGTGAAGGAAACTCATCTACTTTTGAGACTTAAAACTTCTAAAGAAAACTGCTATGATCTAAAGAGATTGGCCATAAAACTATTTGTATTGAAAACTTAGCCAGAATGCCTTTAGTGAACTTCATTCATTAACATTCTTCCTGGCAAGGTTTCCGTATCTCAGCGTTCATTTTATACTTTAATTTGGTTAGTAGGTCTTTGTTTAATCGTCCTATTGAAAGGAGAACAAAGAAGGTTTAGGTGATACAGTGAAGTAATACACTATATTTTATCTCTGTAAAGCCCAGACAAAGTCAGCAGGCTCTGATACCCTCCGATTTGGGTTCTTTTTTTATTCCCTTTCTCTTCCAGGACATTTGGAATCACAAATCAGTTGCAGAGCATAAAGATCCTCACTGTACTTAGCTGTGGACACCTTCAGAAGAGAAACACCTTGTCAAGCAGAGAAATGATGCTCTGAGCACAACATACAGCCCCAAAGGAAGATTATCTTGGGAAAAGTGCATTCCCATTACTTCAGGGATGGATGCTTTGCTTTTATATCTATGTCCTCCAATAAAAATCAGTAGTCAAGATAGTTTCTTCAATTTCTGAGCTCTGTGCTTACTGTCTCAATATCAACTTCATGTTTTTTTCTGGATGCAAAACTCATTAACAAGCTGCAGTTTTGCCTAATGACTAACCTGCTGTACAGCCAGCACCGAGCATAGCGACCCACAGGCACAGGCTGCCCTGGAGGAGGATTTACAGGATAGAAAGGATAAAAAACTCTCCAAACGAAGCTGCTCCCCAGCCCAAATACCGGCCGTGCGAGTGGGCAGCTCCTGGGCTGCTGTAAACTGACACAGCTCCAACTGACTCCCAACTGACTCCAGATAAAAATCTGGCCCCAGAGTAACGGCAGGATCCTAGAAACTTTTCTCACGGAATAGTTTTTATGCCCTTTTCTTGAATATTTACGACCCATCCGCACTGTCCTGCTTAAATCCACTACACACTGTGCATCCATAAAGGAGGAAGATTGTACCTGTCTACTCTTGATAGTGCAGATGATGGTGAGCTGTCTCCTTACTGAAAACTAATTCTTCCTAAACTCTGCACCAGTTCTACTCAAACCACCCAGAGGCAGCACCCCAAACTGATGCTCCTCTTGATGAAGCTGCATTTCAAGGGAGGAAAACCATTCAGAGATTTGGATGCTCTCCCATGACATCCAGTGAGTAAACCAACCTTCAGCCCACCCACCGTGCCCCCTTCTCATGGATGGTGGTGTCCAAAACACGAATCACAAAAGGATTCAGATGAACACAAATCCCACCCCTAAAATCAAGCAGTGACCCTAGGGAGCAGCCCCAACTGCTCCCTAACTTTCCATACACAAAGTTTACGGAGTAAGCAACCTGTTGAAGTTACCAGCAGCAAATACAAAGGTCTGGGGAATGAGCTTGCTCAGTGCTGGGTGGGGCCAGGGTCTGTAAAGAAGGTCCAGGCCACATATCCAAGCTGCTCAGGGATAACCATTTCTGGAATGATTATTCATTTATGCCACTGATTCCTGATCCACACCAGCATAAGTGAAAGGGAGGCAGGCTCAGCACCAAGCGTGGTTTCAAACTGATGACCCAGAGGTGAAGGGCCCCTTCTCCCGTTACTAATCCCCTCAGCAACACAAGCCTCCTGAAAATGATGCTTTGGTTTTATTGCCACAGGGGTCATTTATAAAATCATAAAAGCCAGGTTAAGAAACCAACCCAGCAGCAGCAAGGCCAAGCATGCAGAGAAAGAGCTGAACAGACATCGAACGGGACAAGTTCAGCCCTCCCATGGCATCCTGAGTAATTCAGCTGATTAAACATGAGAAGTTCTGATTCATGGAGAGGAGGAGGAAATGCATAAACAACTTACCAAAAGCTAATTTCTTTATTATTGCAACCAGAAATGACCAAAGACGGTGTATTTTGTATGACTGCACATTACATGTGGAAAAACCCAAAAATCAGCATTGCAATATCCAACAATTCAAAATAAAATAGAATAAAAAAAATCAAACCCAAGAACTTTCTTGACTGGTAATTAACAGGGACGGAATATAAATGAGATGGCATTGAACAAAGCAGGTAACAGTGCACTTTTAATAAACCAATTTCATCCATATCTCCACTGATTTGCAATTTAACAGTTCTATCAGCAAAGCCTCATTTCCCTAACTAGACTGGTACTTTTAAAAACATGACTAATTCACTCTCATTAATATCAATTTGGATGCATTTAAAAAATAACTCTTAATATCTGCACAACAGGCTAAAGGACAGTATTTCTCCAACATATGATGTTCTCACTGCATTGGTTTAAAATACAAATATCCCCAAATTAACCAATGCAATCTAAAATTTATTAGAAAACAAAAGGCATTAATTTTTTTTTTAAGATTTATTCTTATTTAGCTCTGAGACCCATTGCACTACAATATCAAACACTTTTATTGCAGTTTCTCTGCACCTTCCCCATGCATTTTCCACGGGGAATGTGACTGGGATTCAGTTTACTGGTCTTTTCAAGGGGATGCACAAAGAGAAGAATACACCTGCATCTCTTCTACCTAAATAGGATGCTTTTGGCAAACTCACTAACCACTTGTTTAAAAAAACAAAAAACAAAAAACAAAAAAAAGGAGAAAAAGGGGAAAAAAAGTCCATCCCAGCTACAGATTAACATGCTGTAGCTGCCACCAGAAGTGCAGAGCCCCCTGGCCTAAGCTCCCAATTCAGAAGGCATTTAAGCACATGTATAACCAAGTGTGGGAACAGGCTCCTTGAAGGCAATAGGATTACTCACTTCTTAAGAAGTTACCACATGTTTAAGTATCTGAATCGAGGCCTAATTACGGTGCTGGCCACCTCCTCGTGCACACACAGCTGGGGCAGAGCTCACCAATCCCTCACAGCCATGAGGACAGGCGTTTGTCACACGGGCTTTTAGTAGCTGCTAGGTTTGTACTCTTGGGCAAACGACAACAAAAATCCTCAAGCCCTAAAAAATAATTAAAAAAAATTACTTTATAAATATCAGGTATTTACACGTGTGAAAATCTTTTAATGGGAAGTGTTTTTACACACTGATGAAATGTACAAGCAATGAAAAGGAACGTTGACAAAGACTTTAAAAAAAAAAAACAAACCAAAAATCAAAGTATAAAATATATTACAGGTCCACCAAAAGAAATTCACACAGAAGAAAAAAATTGACACAATAGAAACTTTCTTTTTAAAAATAGAAGATATATCACAAAAGCTTGAACATGTTTATTTTATGTTAGTACTAAAAATCAAGGAAAAAAGCTTCATATATTCTCATCACAAAAATATTTACCAGCCACTTTTTATTTCCACATTATGATTATCTGGCTCAGCAAGAGTCGAGGCTGAACTGTATCCAGACTACAGAAATCATTCCAGAAGGTTGTCTCAGTTTACAACTTACTGCAATTTACATTTTCTCCTCCTCTCAGCACCTTACTGCAAAGGTTCAAGAGGGATTAATAAGAAATCGAGAAAGAAGAGGACAGATATCTGTATTTACAACATTCATCCATGTTGCTGCCGAGCCACAGGAGCGGGAGCGGTCCCAGGAACCACCGAAGTCTTCACAGCGCTCTGTGCAAATTCCCCTTGGCAGAGGAGAGAAATGGCATCAGAATGTACCAAAATCCAATGCCCCGGGCTCGGACGGTCTGTGAAACCCAACAGCCCCTGACCAAGGGCATCTCCTCGCCCCTGATTCACTGCAGAGACACAACCCTGGCAGCCGCGGGGGGATGCAGGGTGGATCCCTCCTGCAGCCGAGTCGGGGCGGGAGGTGCCGCGGTGACCACACGACTTCAGTCCCCTGCCAAGCCTTCAGTGCGCCCTGTGCTTCCTCTTCTTGTGTTTTTTATCCTTCCTTTTGTTGGCACACTTGGAGCAGAACCACTGCATCTCTTCTGGGGGTGCAGCCGTAAGCCCAACACAAGGCCTGTGAAGGACAGGAAAATATCACATCATCTCAGTGGATTAACATTGTTTTTGTTTCTTACCCCAAAAAATGCAACTTTCCAGTGGGAGACTAGATCTGGCCCTCGAATTAATATTGCAATTATCATTATCTTAATGAATATAATGATCGAAACCTAAAAAACCTAAAAAACAATAATCAAAGCTTATTCAAAGCCTTGCTTTGAAACAAAAGAGAAATATCAAAAGGATACTCAGATAAAAAATGTTATTTTAGTAGAAAATATGACTGCACTTTCAGGTGTGACTTAAAATAATTTCAAATGCTTCTTTAATACAGCTGCAAAAACCCTTATGATTTTATGTAGCTTTTAAAAAAAAATTCCTAAAAAGTGATTAATTTCCCCTAACCTTTTTATAAGAGCTGACATTTATATTACTGTTCATACAATGCTTCATAATTTGAACTGTCTATCTGTATACACTGTGCTCATAATCCTGTAGTTCTCACAAAATTACCAGAATCAGCAATATTTCCCAGCAGTTTCAAAAACAACCGTTATCACCAATGCCCATTAATTAAAAAGTAACTCTCCTTCACAGCTTAAAATCTTCCTTTTCAAATTTCAGAGCAACAGAGATAAAAATATCTTCCAGATTATTAAATTGGACACAGTAAAGCTATTTAAATATTCCCAACGTCACGAACTATTAGGAAAAAAAAAGGTTTTTTAATAATATAGCCCCAATCTGCCAGGCACTGGCAGAGCAGGATGGATGAGAGGAACTTACCAGTGATACCAATCATCGCAGTCATCACAACCTATCATTGGACTGCCATCATCTGGCTTGTTACAGCCAGGACAGATCCAGATCTGGTTACCCCACTCGTCTCGGATCTGGTGCAAAGAAAAGCGAAGTTAGCTGGTTTTCAGGGCTAAGCAGGCAGGAAAATTGACATTAAAAAAAAAAACAACCCCAAAAAAAAAGGTTTCTTGCTTATCTGGCTAAGGCATTCAGCAGCCCCTGTTGTTATGTGTGAATTCTCTGATCATGAGAGCTCAGTGTTACGTCTTAATTGATTTTCCTACACTGCTCATGATGACAAAATCATGTATTTTCCTGCATTGTCCCGTAAACCAGTAAAGCCAGTTACACCACCCGACCTAAGCATGGGCATTCACACACAGAGCCAGGGCTTAAGGACACAATTCCCTCTCTGTCTATACTTTTAAAATTCGACCCTGCTAATGGCAAGCAGGAGCCACGGCAGCCTCCTGCGTAAGATAACAGTTCTTATGTGCATGTAAAATATACAGCGCTGTGTGTATATATTGCTGCATTACTTATTAGCCAAAGTCTTCAACTCCAAGGAGCTGATAAGATCAGGATATAAAAAAGTTGTTACTGAGTAACTTTCCATTCCCCTTATGACATTTATGTCGCAGTACAATTTACTAAAGGGTAAATGAAACAAGAAAGGCAGATCATTTACAGTACTGGGCAGCTGCTCACCGGGTTCATCATATGCATTTTTTTAATGTTTATATCCTGCTTGACCCATTGTTTGTATTTTTACATTTCCAGTGGTTCTTGAACAGCTCTTTGCTAAAAACATACACACAAAATGTCACAGAATCCACCTAAAGGAGTGCAATTAACAATACAAAATGTCTGGGGCATTACCCTGACTCCATCACTCCTTTATGAAGATTTGCACATTATCGCTGTATCTCAAAAACAGAAACTGTTTTGTTCTCAGCTTTTGTACATTTACACGTATCTCAGGCAATAACTTTTTGCTATCTGTACAGCTTACAAAAATGATATTAAAAAGTAGCAGATAAAAAGCCCCAAATGTTCTTAGTAAAAAAAAAAAAGCCACTACACGGTGGTCTGTACATCTTACACCACTTCCTGAAAAATCAATAGGAATGTACCAGAGCTGCAACCAACACATCACTCTTCCCTGATTCCTCTTAAAGCCCTGAATGCTTTGGTGGTTTAAAACTCAAAAATATAAGTCCCAGGAATACTAACCAGGGAACAATCCCCTTCCCAACAGAGATACAGAGTAGGCACCGTCATAAAATTAACTCAATTTCCAAGCTGATTGATTGCAATAATCATTCCTATCTACCATCTAATCTCACATCTGCAAAGTAATTTTAAGTTGCTGGAGAAGTATCTTTTCCCCAGGTGAAGTGTCTGGGCTCAGAGTGAAGAGGTCCAGAGGCATTTAGGTGGGATAACCCTGCTGGAGAGTGAGGGGATGCTGTGCCATGGTGCTGCAGAGAAGGGATGCTGTGGGATGTTAGGCTGAGGGCAAAAAAACCTGCCTGGACACCTGGTTGCACCCCTATCATCCCCCAGCACAGGCACCCCACTTCTGGTGCTGCCTGTTTTGGGCCTTGCCAGGTGTAGGCAGCACTGACAGATGTTGCCCTATCACAAAACAGACACCTTAACTTTTCCAAACTTAGTTTTTCAGGTATTTTTTTCCCCCGCTGCAGAATGCCTGCCTCAGGCTCTCAGGGGCTGGAGGGGCAGGGTGGTCTATAATTACAGAAACCTCTGCCTGTTTGTTAAACAAGAACTTGGGCTGCTGAATAAGGATATTAAAAATATTGCATAACTTCTCATTCCTTAATGAGCCAAGGGTCATGCAAGGAGGGACAGAGTGGGATTGCTGACTGCTGTGCTAGTACAAACCACTGAGAACTAATGAGCAGAGCACATGGACTGAGATGCTATCCAACAGGGAGATGTGTATCCTTTCTTTTTTGAACTATAAAATCACTCTCCTCTCCTCCCCTGCAGAAGGGAGTTGTGCACCTCTGTCACACTGGCTCCACTCTTATCTCTAAAACAGCTTTCCCATGTGATCTGAGAAAAATCATTCTGTCTCCTAGATTTCCTTCATACGAGAAGCTAATAGTTATTAATCATTTTCTTCTCCCCCAACCTCTGAGCATTTTGACTTATAAACCTGTCACATCAGGTGTCTCTTTGCATGTGCACACAGTTGGGTCCTAATGCAGCAAATCCCTGGTTTCAACTATAATGTTGTAAAACATCACTTGTTACAAGGGCCTGGAGTGGTAGGACAAGATGGAATGGTCTTAAGTTGAAGAGAAGTAGGTTTAGATTGTATATTACGAAAAAATATTTACAATAAGGGTGGTGAGGCACTGTACAGGTTGTCCAGAGAGGTGGTGGACTTCCTGTCCCTGGAACTGCTCCAGGCCAGGTTGGATGGCTCTGAAGAACCTGATCCAGTGGAAGGTGTCCCTGCCTGTGGCAGGGGGGTTGGATCAAGATGGTCTTTAAGGCTCCTTCCAATCCAAACCATTCTGTGATGATCTCTGGTTTTGTGAAAAGAAAAAATAACCTGGAGCCTCTGTATCCTCTGAATTCTTCATTAAGGTGCTAAGACTGTTACCACTGGAAGTATTCTAGGTAAAGTGCTAGGTTTATCTTTCTAAAACTAATGTAATCTCTAAATTATTTCTTTTCATAATTACAGAAGAAAATGGGATGTAATGGAACATTTAGGAAGTGCTTCTCTCTTAAAGGGAGCTACTGTAATAATAACAATGACAATAATAATAGTGACTGTAATAATAAGAGTGACAGTGGGTTTACACCTGTGATACCAAAAGTGAGGCTGTCCTGCACCCTAAGGATATGCAGAGCCTGTGTGACATTGTCCAGTGCTGTAACTAACTCAGGAGTGAAATGTAGCAGCTGCTTAAATAGAGACCAGTAACATGATACAGCACTTTCAGTCCAGCAGGGAAGCACCTTTCTATTAGAAATGCAGGGTAAATTTATATTAGAAATTAATACTAAAACAGGAATCATAAAACTTAAAAAAAAATTAAAATCATGCATATGTTGCAACTCAAGCACAGCAAACTCTGTAATAAAAGTAAGCTTCAGGTGTTTTAAATGGTGAGATTTTTAAACTGCAGCTAAACAAGGTGTCACCAATCAAGCTGGAATTTAGCCAGGACAGGGAAGATAACAACACTACTACCCTTGTGCTG